ACACACACACACACACACACACACGTGTACACACTCACATACATATATACTCGTGCGCGCGCACATTTTAGTACGCGTGCACGAAGATGCGTGCCATTATCAGCGGCAACACAGACTCTATCTCTTCGTCACCAAATACATTGTATATTTGTTTCATTACTGTTGGCAGATTGATTCACGTTCAGGTCAGGCTGTCACGCTTTGTTGGTTGGCGGGTGTTCTGGTGTGGTTTGCTCCTTCTTTTTTGTCAAACATCTATCGTCCTTATCGCCTCTCCTTCATTTTTATGTTTGATTTTCTCTTGCAATACCGCTAATCTTCGGCACTCACTGTGTTGCAAGCCCTGTAAAACATTTACTAAAAATTAAAAAAAGGGAAGAACAAATGTATAAAGCTGTCATGCTTTTTGAAGTTACATTATAGAACTTTGGCTCCGGTTGTTAAATGGGCTCCATTGCGTTTTGTGATTTATGTCCACATTTGACTCGCGACCCTTCAGTTTGCGGGTGTCTGGAGGACTCCACTGGTGGGTATAACTGTCTGTCTGTCTGTCTGTCTGTCTGTCTGTCTGTCTGTCTGTCTGTCTGTCTGTCTGTCTGTCTTTCTGTCTGTGTCTGTCTGTCTGTCTGTCTGTCTGTCCGTTCGTCTTACTCTTTCCTGGCACTAAATGACCGTTGTCATGTCGATGTGCTTCTCTTTATTTCCATAAACAAATGAACTTCTGACATACACTGCTTTATAGTTTAGTTTTGCGGGACTTCGAACAAACATCTATCGTCCTTATCCCCCCTCCTTTTTTATGTTTATTACTTTCTTGTAACTCCTAGTCTTCTGGCGCTCATAATAATGATCTTATGCAGTTGAGAGCGCTGTAAAACCACTACTAAAACTAAAAACGTCTGTGGTTCGAACCCCCAATCGGGGATTCATGATCTTGGGCTGTTGTAGGGTTCGATCGCTTTTTTTTTTGTTGGTAAGTGTTTTACAGCGCTTGCAACTACATACGGTCATAATATGAGCCCGCGGGGCACATTAAACATTTTCAGTTGAAAGGAAATTTTGAATTTTGCGCGGGTGGCGGCTGAAGCCTACTCTTATCGATTTTAGACCACCAAGGGATGTTAAACGTGCGCTACTAACTAGTACACGGGACCTCCGAGATTTTTCGCCCTGTCTGAGAGGGCCAGGTGGAGATCTTTCCTACGTGGCTGAAAAACAGCAGTAAGGAGCCAAGGAATAGCAATAGAGAGGCTGCAGAAAGAGTCAGGATCCCAGAGGAGGTGGTAAAGGAGGTGAGTGGTGGGGCAGAAAGTGGAGACGATAGCAGACGACAGAATTTTGCTAGAGAGCACGAAAGGAGGTGAAAGGAGACAATTTCAGAGACGAATTTTTTTCTGTCTCTACCAGGATTCGCACCCGGGACCTTTGAATGAGAGGCGAACACCTTAACCTTTTATATTTTATAAAGACAGTACATATAAATGTATTTATATATGTTTTAAAAATATGTATTAGAAATATATGTTTAATTAAATAATATTTTCCTTACAGTAT